CTAAACATTTATAGTATTTTTTACTTGCTTTCAGTGTCAGTTCAACACTCATCAGTAGACTGTTTTTATAAATGATTACAGAAGGATTTAGGAGCAAGGGGATAATCTTAAAAAAAAAAAAAAAAAAGAAGTACAAAATGTCACATACAAATAAATTTACCATCTAAGACCAAACTATTTTTATACAGTGTTTCAGTGTTTCCTAATTCTGAAGCTGAGGTAGCTTGAATTGCTAAATTGCAAACACTTGAAAAATAGTAATTTATACCCTCTCAGTTCCTTTTCTGTTCTGTAAATGTCAGATGTGTTAGGGAAAAGGATGGCCAAACATCCATTTGAAAGGGTCATTTGTGCTAATCACTATGCTTAAATGCATCTTGTTAAAGAATTAGGTCTGTTCTCTTGCCATCTTTTGTCCAGCTGATGGTGTCATGTTACAGGTTTATCACTGTATAAATATGGTTAGTAGTGCTGTCTGTTGTGAGGACAGTGAGTGGGACAAAAATGCCGGATTTTATAGAATTTCTTATTCTGTGTTTTTCAGAAGTTGCTGCAGAGAATCTAAGGAAAGTTGGAGTAATTCCAGACCTTCTGTCAATTTTAAGAAATTTTCTTCATAATGAACAGATCTGCCTCTCTTGTTGTGGAGTTCTCTGGAGCTTGGCTGTGAGTGGTAAGTTGAACACAGCAAGTATTGTGCTTAGACTCATGTGACTGAAAGGCAGCAGGTATTGTGCCTAATTGAGTTCAGACATTCCTGTTGCTGGAACTGGATTTTTCTTCTTTCTCCCATTCTGGAGAGGTGTCTCCACAGCACTACTAGAATAACTTTAAGTGATCCAGAGTTAAATGAGAGAACAATAAAAAGTAATGCAGACTTTTTAGCAATCTTTTTTGTGATAAGTTGTCAAATTTTTACTGTTTAGGCCAAGATACGGCTTATGAACAGGCTGTCAGAAATGAGAAGGGTACGTGCAGTTTCTGGTTTATCAGTCATATGGTTTTGCTCTGTTCTTACCAGAGGGAGTGCTTTGCAAACAGCATATTAGATTAGGTATCAGAATAGCATTTGGAATTAATAGCATCTTATTTTTTGCATCACACTTCTCTTGGCAGCACTGGGCTAAATCTTGAGTTGGACATCTAGAGAATCGATTTTCCAAAATAAATGTGATTGTCAAGGTGGCAACTGTGTTCTTCCCATTGCCTTAGAACCCAATCAGCAGCATCCCACAGTGTTGGAGAGCCAGGGGCGATTGCTCGAGCTGACCACTTCTTGTGAGACCACACTGGGAGGTTTTTAGGGGATTTGTTTCTGTGATGTGTTCTTGTATAGGTGTGTGGTGGTCTAATCATCAAGGAGGGCTGAAAGCACAGAATGTGCACTTGGTGTGTTTTACTCCCCCTGTGCAACAAACCACCCATTCGATTTATGTGACCAACTAAATATCCACCCTGTAGACTGTATTCTGTCAAAGGTGGTTATTTTAGAATGTTGCTTGCTGTGATCCCCCTGCATAATTTAAATGTTACAGAAAACTAGTTCCTGGAGAATTTTGTCTTTCTGCAATAAACGTTGCTATTAGTCTTGTAAATTTTGGTTTTGTACCCTTTAGACTCCTTCCACCTGCTGTTGTCCCTACTAAAATAATGCTGCATTACTCCAATGCCATCACCCATTAAGGTTTTACTGATACAATTTGACATACAATGTTCTTATGATATTACCTGATTAAATAACTCTGCTTGATGCATTTTTTTGTTTTGTTTTTTTATGGTAATTCAGAGAATAATGCAGACCTAGTGTTGCTGAAAAGTGCTGTCCCTGTTACCTCTGCAGTCCTTCAAGAGCACCTCCAGAATGGAACAGTTGCAGAGGCTGCTTGCTCGGCTCTGTGGGCGTTGTCACTCCAAGGTGTGTTTTCCCAGTTTCCTTGTCCCTTGTGCATGGAAAAGTCCAGTATGCCAAATGCGTGCGTCTCAGTGGTGATCCTTGAAATACAGGCTGCTTGGCCTTAGCAGGCTCTGTAGGTGGCAGCAGAGTTAGGAATTTGCATCTTCTGTTAATCAGTCTTCCATGCACTTGCTCTCTAACACTCCCTAATGAAGCTATTTTTGAGCTGTAGCAATTACATAACTAGATAGTGCTGATGGTTGCTGTAACGATGGGCAGCTACAAGAGCCTCGTTGTGCAGAGCACTCTCTGGATTATCTCTTAAAACCAAGAATCTCATTTGTGTTACTCCTTTGAACACAGCATTAGTGTTGTGCAGCATGGGCTGGGAGGTTTGTTTTTATGCCATTTGTTTTGTAAATTGGGAACAGTATTTCAGATTAAAAAATAAAATGCCTATCTTTCATTATCATATGCAGTAAGAAACACATCCTTGCAGCACTACTGTCTTGTTTCTTCCTCATGCAAGAATACTGCCATATGCTTACCTACTGCCCTGCACTTATGCCATCATTCCACTAGGAAGAGCTGAGTAAAACACTAATCAATCTTGTTTCTAATACCCACCAGCAGAGTAGGTTGAGTATTCAGCGCTTTCCATTCCTTTTGGTTTGAAGAATGAAAGGGAATCTTGACATAGAAGGTGTATCAGAAATTTATCTTAGACCCCTAGATCAACTCAATTATTTGGGCCTTATTTTACTGCAATACAGGTTTTCACACATGCTTTCTTTGTAACTTTTATTGCATAATTACAAAGTAATTTCAGAAACAGGAGGCACAATCTGAAATGATGATGAGTGTTTTAAAGGCTTCTGAGTATATTGAAGTTTTGGGGTGTTGTGTTTTTTAAAGGTTGCTTAACTGAAAATGAGTATGAGCCCACAACTGTGCTTCTGATGGATGTGATCAGGATGAATTTAGGAAGACCACTACTGGTGAAGAATGCCTGCCTAGCATTAGCAAGCCTTTTAAGGCTATCTGGTAACATTCAGCAATTATTTATTTTATTAATTGCAAATCAGCTCAGAAGTGGACATTTCTGCATAGCTCCAGAGTTCATAGTGGGATTGGGATTGACATCTGCTCTTCTGAGTTAATCTTTTCTTGCAGGATTGGAAGAGGAAATAATGAACCTGAAGGTGTGAATTTTTTTCTTTCCATGAACCCAGCATGCACGTATGAGAAGTATTAGATCAGCATGATCTGATCTATTAGTAACTCAAGAGTGTTCTGTTACTTATTTTACATTGGAGTTGTTTCAACTGTGTAAAAGGGTAGAGTTCAATCAATGTGAAAACAATAAACATTAGAATATCACTTCTGCCATTCATGACAGTGCCAGCTGCGTATGTGATCTTCTACTTGTTGTCCACATACGCTTCAGAATAGCTTTTAGGAAGACTGAAAATAATGGGTATGACTTCCTGGAAAAATATTACACGTCTGCTGCTAGCTGGAGCAGAGGATTGGAAAGCAGATAACGCAGTTTGCAGCTACCAATTAGCCCAGCAGTGTTTGTCTCCCTTTCAGAAATACCAGCTTTGAGATTTATCACAGATTCAAAAGGCAGTGGAATAAACCTGATCAAAGATGCCTACCACCTTCACTTTGATGATCCAGAAGTGGTGGAAAGCAGCTGTGTGCTGATGAACGAGATGGTTCAGTATGGTGAGATGGTGGTGGTGTTTGTTCTCTTCTTCCCCATTCCCAAAAGATAAAGAAAACCGTAACAGCAGCTGCTCAGGGATGTGTTAGTTGCTCCCAGGAAAGACTTACTATGTATCTGAGGAAGGAGGATGAATTGGAACTAAGAGTTCATCCCCCTTGTTCTTGAATGATTTTAAATGCCACTCGGATGTCATAATGTTGTAACTTCATCTTATCTTCCCTTCTCTTTGTGTAGCTCTATCCTCTCTGTTTTCCTTTAGCTCCTGCTGAAACTATTGGCAGTTGTAACCATATATTATCCTGTTCATTTACATTACAGATGACATAGTGCTGGATATGCTGTGCCAGAAAATGGAAGATCTGCTCTTTGAAATAAAAAGCCGTTTTCCATCTAGTATGGTATGTAGAAGTCACTGTGATGATAAAGGGTGGATGCTTAGTATATTATTTCTGGTTATGGATTTTATCTTTTTCAAATAGCTGGAATATACATAGTGCAAAAATTTACAGAATTGTGTATGTGGGGTGAAAAGTGAGTTTGTAAGAATATTTCTAACTACTGGTCACAAATAGTTGGAATTTTATGGTGTAATTTTTTAAAAGTATATTCTGGTCTCTTGCAACACTGCACTGCATTAATTTACTACATTCTTCATACTAAAACAGGCTAAAATTTACAGGAACAAAAAATATTTAATCCCATTATTTTTGTTTTGTAAGTGACATCTTTAAAAAAAACCCAAACAACAAAACCAACAAAACAAACCCTTGTGATAGCTTGCCTGAAGATTTATGTTAAATTCCCACAAGTAGTCATACTGAAACAATGTAACTTTGAAACACCAAAGTTATTAAGCTATTTGATGTTACACACAAATATTTCACTTGCAATGGTGTGCTGTCCAAAACAGTAATTACAAGTTTTTTTTCATCCAGCCAATAAAACTGTTTAGTCTGGTAACTTTGCTCTTTTTAGTTATGCATTTAGCCTGCTTACATAATTTGTCTCAAAGACAGCAACATGCAAACTTTTTCTCCAATGTCTTCTGCAGGCACTGCCTGCACCGATTTAATGGCCACTGCAGCTATAAGGTAGTGCAAAAAAATAAGAATCACAAAAGAGAATCAAGCTCCCTCTTCTGTTGTAAATGTGATTTGTTGTTCCCTGTCCCCTGCTGACAGACCAGAACGATCTCATTCTGGCAGTGTGTAAGATGTGCAATTGCTAAACCTCCAAAATCCATTCCCTGTTACCTTCCAGTACCCATTTAGATTATTTAAATCACAGCATTAGTATTCATTTTGGTAATTACAGTTGCTCTGGATTTTGCAGAATCAGACCCCACGTATGTTGAAAACACTATAAAGGCCTATGTTAGACACAGTGTTTTTATTAATAAAGGAGTATAAAAATAAGTGAAGCAATAAGGTAATCTTCTATTTGACAATTCTCACATTTCTCTCCAGGAGATAATGACCCTTGTGGATGCAACACTTTTGAAACTGCAGAAGTAAACCAAAACCTTCTTGTATAAGAACAAGACTTGTACACTTCTGGTTCAGATGTCAAAGCTTGGATCCTCCAGAAATACTTTAAAGATTTTTTTCTCTCCAGAAAGATTAATACTGGGCCATTAATAATATATAGTTATATTCTGTGGATTTAGGTACCACAACTGTGAAACTAACAGCAGTGAATAAGAATTTGCCTTCTTTGTAGACTTCAAAATATATGAAATAAAGATTTTAGTCTTGGGAGTCTCAGCAAACTAATGACTTTCTTCCTTCATATATCATAATTTAACAACACTTTTTTTTTTTTTAACTTAGTGTATATTTCCTTTGTAGAAATCGAGCTGATGAAGTACTTCACAAATGCAGACATTTGTAACAAGTACTGTTTAAACACAGTAGTAGGCATTAGGCATAGGTACCATCCAGAAAGGGGATATTAGCGCTATTGTTCTATGGCGGCATTCACGTCCCAGGTTAGGAAGTATTGCCTTTTGATTTTTAAGAAGTAGCTGCTGTCAGTTCTGAGTTATCTCTGAATTTGCCCTGGAATGTGACATGAAACTAGCAAATGCTACAGATAAAAACTATTCAAGTTTTACAATTTTTGTTGTTAGATTTGTTCTTAATAGCAGCTTCCCATTTCTTTTTCTCTAAGGTGTACAGTCTCATTGCTGCTTGTGCATCCTGAATCTAAAAAGAGAACAGAACAAACACAATGTTTAATGAAACATAGCTGACATGGTTTAAGAACGTTGTTAAAAAGCAGCTCAGTCTTCCATCACTTTAAAGGACGTACTAAAGTAACTTTTCATAATTTCTTTCTAGATTTAGGTTCCGTGACTAGTGGAAGGGGATGAATTATGTATTCAGAATGCATGGCCCACCACAAGGCTATGCATGCCCTTCTCATCATGACTTGGAAAGCCATAATGAAAGAATACTCTTGATACAGTATCTTGGAGATATCCTCACAATTTGCCCTGCCTTTTCAGTTTATTCCTCTCTTATATCCTCCTGTCCACTGAAAGAAAGGAATTAACTGCGGAGATTCAGTAGCAGGCTCTCACACTGTTTTATCCAACCCACCATAGTACAATGGTGCAGATTGCTGCTTTTGAGGCAAGTAGTTGATACGTGAGAATTACTTTTTTTCCTCAGGGATCTTAACAAGATTTAATATTTCAACAAAGTAGAGCTGACTTGTGCAGAAGTTTATGAAAATAAGGAAATAATCCAAGTGGTAGGAGACACATAACAGTAAACAAGCTTAGATGGCAATCTTACTGCATGCTGGTGTCCAAGCAGAGCTTGCTAACATTCACTGAGAGTCTAGAATGAAGCCACAGCATTCTGGATTGAACCCAGATCCTAGAGCTAATGTGTAGTATTGATCTACCCAAAAATGTATGTTCTGAGGAGATACATACCGAGCAGTGCTCTGATGTCTGTACTTGAACGTTCAGCAGTTTCTCACAAAGCAGTTTCAATGAGGGCCGTGTGTTCTAGAAATAAAAAACAGAATCAGGCTGTCTTGCATCACTTGAATATATATATATAATCTATGTGTATACATATGAACATATTAGTTTAAGTGTAGCACATCTCAGCTTCTACTGATGAAATGTCAAGAATAATTAATGAATTCGGAGACTTATGAATGCACTGCTGAGAAGGTTTTACCTGTATTACCCTAACACTAAGATTTGTTTGGGGTGCTTTGTTGTGAAATGGAAAACCTCAGTAAATAGTTATGGAACTTAAAGTATCACCGTATGATCTGAACCTTTATTCCTGCAGTCTAAGTAGAAACTTGAAGCCATGCATTTTTTTTTTATATCCCTAAGGAAATTATACCATTAAGAAGATAAGCCTCAGTGTAAGTAGAGCTCTACCATCTTGTTTTGCTGTCCAGAAAAGCATTACGAAGACCATGCAAGTGGGAGAGCCACTGAATTTTGTGCACAGGTATTACTGATAATGCTTGTACTGAACCAAGTAACTTATTGATATACTTCAAACACTAAGTAAGCATTGAACTAGACTGGTATTTTCAAATGACAAAAAGCAGGGACCCCTGTTTCAGGCAGGAAAGAAGGAACAGGGTCAAGCAGAGGCAAGTGTAGGAGTGAGCTAGGGGCTCAGAAGTCAGTTACTTAAGGTGCACCCTCCCATCAGTTTCTTACCTTGACTCGCTGCCTGAAAGGCTTGTATTTTTGTGTGTCACGTATCTTCTTCTGAGGATGATCAAGAAATAGGACCTAGAAGAAATTACATTTCCAGTCCAAAGCATGCTGTTGCATGGAAATTTCTATGGCTGAATGTACAGCTTCCTGCTCTTTCCGTCCATCTGTAGTAAGAGCTAGTTCAAAACCATGGATGTACAAGACCAAGATCATCCAGACACTGGCTGGATTCAAGAACCACAGTTCTACTCAGCACAAGAAACAGAACTGTATCTGCAGGCACCTCCTGCAGTGCTGTTACAGCATGACAGAGGATACCTGTCTCTGGTACCAATGACCAGACTGCTGAGCTTTGGGGGATAAACAAAGCATGCAAACAGCATGAAATTTTTTCATCATTTTGTTTCTTTCCTGGATTTTTAGTAAGCAGATCAGTGCTATTAGCAACAGAGTCTGGAGCTGAAGAACTTTAGTGGGCAAGTGGCAAGGGCTATACTTAGTGCAACAGGACATAACAAGAAACTGAGATAGCAGTGATAAAGCTGTAGTGTCTAGGTGTGTTCATCTGATCCAAAAAGATGTATTAGAAACTTAATCAATCTTACATTTTTAGAGCCTTGTCTTCAAAACAACAAATCTACAGCCATGTACCTTTAGATCATTACGTAAAGCATGTCCAACCAAAATCCTTCCATTCAAGATGTCAGCAACCTCCTTCTGAACTGTTTTAAAGTCTTCACCTAAAAATACCACACAATGAAACACTTTCCATTAGACACATAAGACAGCTAAGAAAGCTACAGTTAAAACACTGCATCTTTTTTGTGAAGGCAATTGTATCCTTGGGACTAGGTGGTTATACAAGTTTGTACAGTACACAAAATCCTCTGCTTGTTAGAAGAGCATAGAGAATTCCATCAAGAGCATAGCACTAAAAGGAAATAAACTTCCTATTATTCCCATACCATAGTCCATGAGTTATTTTTTCCCAGGGCATTAGTGACGTTTTCCCCACAATCTTTCTTAGCATTCAGACTACGTTTTGTTTTCTATTTCTCACAAAAGGTCTAAAACTTATCCAAGCTCAGCCAACAAGGCTTCTGAGGTAGCCTGTTCAATTCTCCTTCCTTAAAGAACATTGTGGGGAAAGAACCTCTTACCTGTATTTATATTCTCAGGGCGTATGCCACTAACAGCTGTTCTGTAATCAGTCACTACTTCTGTAGGCTTGACATACTTGTCATAAATGCACTTTCCAAACTGGTTCACGATGGACACGCGAGCCACGATACTGTCTTCACCCTTGGGTCCCACTCCCACCATCTCACAGTCCATGGCTACAGCTCGAGTCAGCCTAAAAGACAAAGGACAGCTTGGTGACACCTCTGTGACAGGGACTGCACAGTAGAGTTCACAACGTCCGCATGTTGATATGAACAGGGAAAACCTGGCAGTCTGTCTGTCAGCAGACTCCGGGAGATGTCATCTTACACTGCGCACCTGCAAATCACAGTTATTAGAAAATAATCTCAATGTCTCTGCTGCCATCCTTCCCGCTGGAATGCCACTCACCCTTCAAAAGCATTTTCTTTAACCAGCACCTGTTCCACAGACTGTTTGGATTGGCCTGCTTCAAGTCCCAGATTTCTTCTAGCAATTTTTGCTGCTTCAGGTCCTATTGCTGCTTCAATATCTTTTGGATCAACATCATCAAACCAGATTTCAGCCCTGGTAAGTACAAATTTAATTACATTTAACAGATTTAAAATAGTCTTGCATCTTTATAGTGTAGAAAAAGCATATTTAGTTTTTAAATCACAAGAAATTAGGTCAGTGAAAATTAGTCTAGTACTGTCACCTATGCAGGTTCATTGCTATTTCTGAAGAGTAGGGGCTGAATACATCTTATTTCTCTCAAAATTTACTCTGGAAGAGTGCAGCTGTTTTGAATGTACCGCTCTGTGCTCCTTATGTACACCTCCCACATCAAATTTCACATACAGGTATGATCCCTGAAGCACTCACTCTTTGGGTTCCTGCTCCGCCTGTTCTTCAGCTTTCCTCCTCTTATGTTTTATATCGCCTTTCTCCTTTAAAATATTGCCCGCTTTCTTTTTTTCTTTGCAGCCTTTTCCATCGCTTTTGGTGCCATTTAGATTCTTACCCATCGCAACCTTCTTGGATTTTGGCTTAGCCAAAGAAGGACCGTCTTTAGCAGAACCACTGTCCATTTTATTTGTGGGTTTGGCCTTTACTGCATTCCCATTCCCAATGATAGCTGGAACTTCTTGGCTATTTCCCATTTTGAGCGGCTGCTTCTTTTTGGGGTATGTTTCACATGTAGAGAGGGCCTCCTTGGAGCTATTTGCCTTTTGTTTCAGTAGCTAAAACGTAAAAAACAAAACAAAAACAACAACAACAAAAAAAAACATCAAAACCAAAAAACACCAAAACAAAACACGGAAAAAGGGATGACTTTCCTCCATTTGTGACCCCGCCATGGTTCCTGCCATTCTGCCCCGGTGCCAAACGGCCCTGCACTCTCTGGCTGGCTTGAGGGGAACTACATGCAACGGGACGTCCCAGATCCCTCCCGCAGCACTTAATTTATTGACTTTTTTTTTTTTTTTTTTTTTTTTTTTTTTTTTTTTTAATTACTACACGCAACGTGGGGCTGCCGCCAGAGAACGGCAGCGTGGCCCCGGGCGGCCTCCCCGTTCTAAAGCCCCGGGCTCGGCCCGGCCGCACCTCCCGCACCCCCCTCACCTCCTGCAGCGCCTTCCAGTTGGACGAGAACTGCCCGGGGCTGCGGGGGGGACCTGCTGCCGCCGCCGCCGCCACGGCGGGGCCTTTCGGCGCGGCCCCCGCCGCCGCTTCCCCGTTCCCGACCTTCCTCTTCCTCCTCCTCCTCCTGCCCTTGCTGCGGGCCGCGGCGCTCGGCCCCGGCGCCTCGGGCTGCGCGGGGCTTTGCTTCGCCATACGGGATCGCCCAGACCCGGGGACACCGCGGGGAGAAGCCGGTTCCAACCGGGCCGGGGATACCGCTCCCCGCCACGCCGGGAGCGGGCCCGCGCAGCGCCGCACCGGCCCGGCGGGAAACGCCGACCCGCGCTTCGGTTCCGGGCGGCGGGGCCTGCCCCCGTGGGGTTCCCCCCCACACACCCCCACCCCCGCCGCGGCGTGGGGCCTGTCAGGGCGCAGGTTGAACCGCGTAGAGCCCCTTTCCCCACCCCAGCCCACCCCTTTGGTGTGTTTGGCTGCGAACACTGGCTCGGCGCTCGGTATCGTCCGCGCTCTTTGGCTGCGGTGAAGTTGCAAACATTGCGCAAAACCAACCTCCCTCCCGCCAGCTGTTGCTGCAAAGCCTCGGGCTGCAGGCCGTTCCCCCCGGCTGCCCCTCTCTGCAGAGGGTCAGCTCCCCTGTTTGTTTAAACCCTGCTCTCTTCCCTTCCGCTCCACGTGATGCCTTGGGCCAAACCTCGTCTTAATCACCCTTGGGCCGGCGCGGGCTCCGCAACGCTGGTTGCGATTCCTCCAGCATGATCGTCAGCTTGACGATCCGGGTGCTCGTGACGCTCCCCTTGGGGTTCTGCTGGCCGTCGGCTTTCCAAGAGGTGAGTTTGACCTCCAGAAATTTCAGTTTCCAGGAAGGCTTTTTTTTATTTCTAGGAAAAAAAAAAAAAAAAAAGAGACAAGGCAACGTGTTCTAAGCCAAAATCCATCAAAACTCACTAATCAAGAAGATAAAGCTGTGTCCTCTGGGTGGCTGTTGTGCAGCCCATGCGTAGTGCAAAATAAAGCCATGAGAACTTGGCATCGGCACTCGTTGAGTTGTTCGCTGGCATTCCTTCCAGGTTAGGTTCTGTTAAGCGATAGTCTTGTATCCATTTGTTTGTCTTAAAAAAATGTAAAGCTATTCTTCTTCTTACAGAAATTTCTCAGCGCTTTGGATGCGAAAGATGTTTTCTCTTATTTTGGAACCAGCTCAGCGTCTGATGGTATGCAAGGCTCCTTCCTTCTTCGTTTTGGAACACGTCTGGCAGTTTATTTCTAATCCTGTACATTTGATAACGCTAAGAACACTTATTAACGAACTCTGATCTGACAAGCATTTAGCATTTCTGAGACACATTACTCAGTGAGGCAATCCATGTTTCAGTGTGAAAGCGGTTAAAGAACTGGGTCAGTATTTGAAATCTGCTGGAGATATGATAAATCTTTTTTCACATTTCTCCTGCAGTCCTCATTGTCTATATTGGTATTCTTCTATGAGATTAACAGATCCAGGTCTTCTAAGTGGGAAGCTTTAGACTAAGAATGGCTTTAAATGCACTTGATAATTTTTTTTTTTTTTTTTAATAATCACGTGGAGACACTAGTATTCTGGGTCTGGATTGATGGTAGTTCAGAATAAAGATACGTTTTAAATTCTCAAATCCTTAAAGCAAGGATATTTTCTACTTGTGAGTTTACCTAGTGCTCATCCCAGTGTCTCTGTCTGGATTATGATAATTCTCACTCAGTAATACTTATCATCTGAGGAAGTGAAACTGTCTCAGACTTTGTTAAATGAACTGTTCTCTTTATCGTGAGAGCAAAAATGCCGATGAATCAGGAGCCAGTTTTAGAGCTGTTGTCTGTTCCCAGTCAGATTATCCTCACTTTGGAATACATGAAAGCACAGGAGTTCTGTGTTGACACAACGACCCTGAAAGGCCACAGTTGTAATTTGGAGAGTATTTTTTCCTAGAGAGATAGATCATTACATTTGTTTTCTGTGTATCACTGTTTCTCAGAACTGTTCTGGTCTTGTTTAATTTCTTTCAGTGCCTGAGTTTCTTGTTGCTGAGCCAACTTGCCCTTGTAAAGAACAGATTGGGTTGACGTCCTGTCGTATTCAACATTGCTCCATTGAGGCCTGGGGAGAACTCTATGCCTTTGAATTTCTAGAGGACCATGCCCTCCTTTCCTCTCCGTTTGTGAGCAATCAAGTGGTGAACTCTTCCTTTAGTTTACTGAAGCGATTCTCAGGCAACTGCTTTGCAGGTGGAAATCCACTGCAACCTCCTGGGGCTAAGTGTAGAGTCACTTATTGTGAAGGGCAGCTGGTGAGTATGCACTGAATTTATTCTTACAAGCTTTTACAGCCTGTGTAGGTTTGCAGCTTGATGCACCAAGCGTGTGAACCATCCATTTAATAAATTTGAGCATTACAGAGGAGAAATAGGAAGGATATGGCACACAGTTCTCCACTGATAGCAAATGTCTTTGGAGTAACTCAGAGATGGAATTTCATCTCCTTTAGCAAGGAGTCGTCATTGCACATGAGGAAAAGATTCATATCAGGCCTGTCAGAAGCAAAGATGTGGCCCTGCTGAAGGAACTCGGCTTCTCCAGACCCCACATTCTCTTTAGAAGTGATGCAAGAGAGGCAAATACAGCAAGAGGTAATGTACATGGAGAGGAAGCCATGCTTGTTCTGCTTGGAAAAGCTATCTCCTGGTAGTAGGGTTGCTTGCATGAGCTCAGAGGAAAAATTAGTATCTACATGAGTATACTTGAGTATGTTTCTCACCTCACTGAGGTGTAACTAGTGTGTTTTCATTTTGTTGTTATTTTGATAGCATAGGTGTGTTTTTAAGGATGCTGACAGATGAAAGAAACCAACAGAAGTGGGAAACCTGAGCAAGCAACTGGAGGAGTGGTTTTCCGGCTGGATTATTCCAGTCTTTCAAGAAGAGGGAGTGGATCTGTAGGACCTTTTATATTGTCTTGAATTTTAAACCCCCTGTGTTCCTTTGTACTGTTCGGCAGGGCGGTTTCCTTCTCGCCTGCAGAAGAGGGCTGAGGGAGCTGTCAAACATCTGGAGCTGATGGTTGTAGCAGGTCCAGATGTTTACTTGTACCACAAAGAAGACACGGAGAGATATATTCTTGCCAACCTGAACATTGTGAGTAGCTTTCTGTTTGGATTGCTGTCCCACTGTGAGACCTCACAGTGTCAAAGGTTTGTCGCAACCAGGCAGACCTCTGTGAGTGCACTTCCAGAGGTGTTTGTGGTCACTTGCTCCAAGTGCAGAGTGCTGCTTATGTGCAGGGTGTTATTCTCTGTTTCCCCTGGCAAGCTTTCCCATGTACAGGGAGCTGCACAAAGAAAACTGGATGTTAGAAGCCTTGGGGTTATAGCCTTAAAACCCATGTAGAAAATGTAGCTCTTGGTTTCATTACTAACACTGTTGTATGTCAGACACAGTAGCAAGAGTTTTATCACCAGAGCCTTGGTCCAGTTCCTGTTGTTTTCAGTGAGATTGAAGGAGATCCACTGATTTTATCTTACATTTTACATTTCAGTGTTCTATTTCTGTTACAGGATTTCTCTAAATGTCTCCATCTGCTATTATTATGAATTTGTTTATGCATTTTCTATGTGTGTATATTGCAAAAAAGTCTTTAGCATTCAATCTCCTGCCCTATGAAATTGTTTTCCATGCAGATTCTTCTCTCTGCTTCAGAGATCTGACAAGTCTCACACCAGTTCTCATCTGTTGATGGATTTATTTACATTCATAGTGCATACTTTAATATTGTACTTCCTGGTGATTTTATAGTTGCCCCTTATGGTTACCAGGTGTGTTACCTTTGTAGTGAATGCAGCCCTATTATTGGGAACGGGTAGCGGGAGTCACCAAGGTGCCTCCTTTACTGAATCCTTTCTGTCTCTTAACAGGGGGCAGAGCTGCTGAGGGATGCCTCGTTGGGTGCTCATTTCAGGGTTCATCTGATGCAAATGCTTGTTTTGAGAGAACCAGAGGTAAGCAGGGAGGACTCTTGTTCAGGTGTTGTCCAAAAGGTTGCTAAAAGCTGTATGAAGTGAGCAGACGTGTGCCTTCACTCTAGGCAGAGGTAAACATCACAACAAATATCACCTCCTCGCTGATCAGTGTTTGTGAATGGAGCAAGAAGGTCAACCCTCAGAATGACTCTGACCCCCAGCATGCTGACATTGTCCTCTACATCACCAGGTACCGAAGTGCTCCTGCCCTGGGAGGGGACTGGAAACAGAGCTGATGGTGTTGAGCTGTTAGTGCAGTGACAGTGATTTGCACTGGGCCTTCTAGCAGTCGGGCATCACAGTCTTTGGAAATGGGTTGGTTCTCCTGCCCTTAGTGTAATGCAGTTAGTCAGAAGTGCTGTTTCTTCAGTTTCTGGAGGAACTGGAATATTCCCCAAGCACTGACCAGCCAGACTTGAGCAGATATTTTGTGCTTCCAGACAGCACAGCCAAACCCACTGCAGCTTTTTGTGGGCAGAAACGTTGAACAGTAACTGGAAGTGAAAACCCACTGGTGTTTTCTATGGAAGATTTCTAGTGCTACTCTGATTCAGATTCTGACTTTCAGTCTCCTTGCTCTAAATTGTCTTGGCTAAATTTGTCAAAGGAAAACTTTTTGTGAGTGTAATGGATTTATTTTGGTGCTCTTTCTTCAAAGAGATGATGATACTGCTCTGTCTTTTGCAAATAAGATTAGGTCATTTTACTCTGTTCTGCTTGTCTGGGGATATTGGGATTTTTTGAAGTAGAATCACCACAAATTTTGAATGGTGGGCACTCGTAGGACCCTACCTCTACCATCTTGCCCCAGGGAGCTCCATGTGTCAAGAGAAATGTTAGGTAGTTGGCAAAGTTAGACCAGGAAAGTGCAGATAAATTCAATTGAATGTCTAGACCTGACTTTATTAGCTGGAGTGGTTCTTTGCTCTTTCCTCTGTGTCTGTCTCCCTTACTTTAGGTTTGACTTGGAGTTACCTGATGGGAACAAGGAGCTACGTGGAGTGACTCAGTTAGGTGGAGTCTGTTCCTCCTTCTGGAGCTGTGTTATTACCCAGGACACTGGCTTTGACCTGGGAGTCACCATAGCCCATGAGATTGGGCACAGGTCAGTAGGAAAGCTCCAGAGCAGCCCAGTATGTTTTATTCAGGTAAAAACATCCTCCAGGTCAAAGGATTCAGAAGAAAGAAAGGGATCTCTTGGCATAACAGGGGGTTTCCTATAGATTATTCAAAAATTTTGGAAAGAGTTCCTTGCGT